CCTTAGAGAGATCACTTACCTCCTCCTTATTTGTAAAATAAAGATGACAAGTTTACTTCCTCCATAATTCACAGACTTGTGTCTATAAATAAGAAGCAAGGGAGGGTCTGTAAAACATCTCCATAAGAAGGTATCACTTTTAAGTCAATGAATGTAATTTTTATCTTGGGGAGTTTCCCCTGAATATCCTTGGTAGTTCATAGCAAATCCTGGGATAAGGCCTCTGTGCCCTAGCAAATGAATAAATGATCACCAAACAGGTTCAGCATGTAGACTGGTGTCTCTACAATGGTGACATGTGGGATCGTATTGGGATTTCAATGGCTAGTGCATGGGGATGTGCAGAGAATTATAGAGACACAGAGCTCGCTGGGAATTTCCCTTGGGAGAACACTTCTAGCACCTCATCCCACTTTCCCAGGATGGAGGCAATTAAACTGCCTGTGGGGGCCATGCTGGTTATTTCATTGAACACACATGTTTATGTATTACTTGTCATTTCTTCTGATTTTTGTCAGTTTATAATTAAGTATAATTTCTGTACATTAGTATCCACAATCCCAGTGGATAATTGTAAGATTTTGTCAAATTTATATCCAGTAAGCCCCAACACCTAAGAAACTTTATGCGAACCTCTTCTGACAAACCCATTCTCCCACCCACTGACTGTCCCTGACAACCAATACATTGTTTTGCCCAAATAAATTTGCCTTTCCAACAGTGTCCTTAAGTGTGATCCTAGAATATGTACTCTGAGTCTATAATCTTTCATTTATCATTTAAGGCCTGTCCATATTGTTTCCTGTGTCAGAGTGGAATATTTTTCCTACAGAATAGTATTTCAGTGTATGGTCATTACCAATTGTTTATCCTGTTCTCAATTGAAGAACATTTGTGTTGGTTCCAACATTTGGTGATTACAAATAAAGCTGATCTAAACATTTGTTTAAAGTTAATTGTTTGTCTGCTTTCAATAAAAAAATCTTATTTTTTCAATAAAAAAATCTTATTTTTTACATTTAAATTAATTTAAATAAATTTTTAAAAAATGTTTTACGATAAAAAATTTATTGAAGTACGTTTAGTGCACAATGTTACATTAGCTTCCGACATAGAACATAGTGATTTGACAACTCTACACATTATGCTCTACTGACCACTAATGTAGCTACCATGTGTCATGCAATGCTACTACAATACCATTGACTACATTCCTTGTGCAGTAGTTTTCATCCTTGTAACTTACTCATTCCATAACTGGAAGCCTGTACCTCCGATTCTCCTTCACTCATTTTGCCCATTGCCACACAGGTCTCCCCTCTGGCAACCACCAGTTTGTTCTCTGTACTTATGGGTCTGTTTCAGTTTTTCATTTGTATGTAACCTCTTCAGTGAACCATGTTTACTTTTGGGCCCTTATTCCCAAGATGATAGCTGGGTTCTCACAGAACATAAAGTTATCTCCTGAGGTGGATGTGTTCCTTGCATGTTCGTCTTTGTGGCATTTGCCAGTGTAGAGTGTTTCTTGTTAGTGTCATGGCTTATGATCAGCATGCAGTTGTGTAAGCCTTACATTACACCACCATTCTGACCACCAATGTGTGTTCTCAAATGGTGGTAGGCTGCTATGTCTGGGGCTTTCTTGAATTTGCCATTCATACTGAATTCACCTTCTGCCATTCCAGTGTGGTTCATTACTATTTCTGTGATATTCCCCCAAATCTGTCTCTTTCCTGCTCTTATGTCTACATAAAGGAGATTGTGCTCTTTATCTTTGTAGATTTCAATATCTGTTTTGCTCTTATAGCTGTCTTGACCTCCTATCTGTCTATCTTCATTGCCCTCCTAAGTATGTGTTCAACACAGGGACAGTTACTCTACTGATTTCACATGGCTCACTCATGAGGTTGCATATCTTCTGCATGGTCCACTGGGCTGAAAGGTTCAAGATAGACTTACATGTCTAACTGTTGACTCAGGTTACTCTCTACCTTTCTAAGGTCTTTCATCCTCCAGAGGAGAAACCAGATTTCTCACATAATATTTTCAGTACATAATATTTCTTACAAATTATTTTCTTACATAATATTTTCAGAAAGTACAATTGAACAGTTTCATGAAGTCTAGACTCTTAACTCTCACAATATTTTTTTCTGCCACATTATAGCAATCCATGATGTCAAAGGGCTGGTGCAGATTCAAGTATGAATCAAGAATGAAGAATGACTCCACCTCTTGAGGAAGAAAGCTGCAAATAATTTGTACCCATAGTTAATCTAGCACAATTAGAAATCAGTTTAAACCACTGTAACTAAGAAATCTGAAATATAGTGACTAAAATAAGACAGCAATTTACTCATATAGTGGAAGTTAATGCACTTCTGTAAGAACTATCTGTATAGCTGGTATGTCTTGGTCATTCTGGGGACAGGTTCAGTTCACAAATCTCTCCCTACCATCTCCTGCAGTGTTAAAAGTCTGTCCTCATCATAACTATTCTATCTGGAGGAGAGAATAGAGAGATAAGTGAAGGATAAATAATTTCTTTTCAAGAAAGTGACACAATAGCTGCATGCATTACTTCTGAGTACATTCCATTGGCAAAAATTCATTAATAATGCCACAAAAAACGATCAGATAAACCAACTTCAAAATTTTATCTCTAGCTGAAAGGCAATGTGCTTAACTGAAATCTCAATACTCTGGAAAAAGAAGTAATATTTTCTGAGGAAAGTCAGGATACTCCCACACAGTTAGTAACTGAATCTGAGCTTCTAAGACTTGGAACTTTCTCAATATGAGGTCAGAGAGATGAGTAGCCAGTAAAAGTAAGTGGCGTCCTAGAAACCAAATGATGATAAATGCACCAAGAGGGAATGGATGTGTCAGAGCTGCTGGTAGGTTAAGAAATATCAAGCCTGGTGGTGGGTATTAAGGAGGGCATGTATTGTATGGAGCACTGGGTGTTGTACATAAACCATGAATCTTAGAACACTGTATCAAAAACTAATGATGTATTTTATTGTGACTAACATAACACAATAAAAAAAAGAAAAGAAAATAAGTTAATTACTGTGCATGTTGGGGAAAAAAAAAGAAATATCAAGACTAAAAACTGACAATAGGCCACAATGATAGGAAGTTGGTGGGTGAATTTGAGGGGTTCTATTTGGATGGTAGGGATACGAATCTCATTAAATATATACCTTACAATCTAGTCCATGATTGTTCTTTGCTTTCTATAGTTCCTAAGTATTTTCCCAACATGCATTACTGATGGAATAAATGTATGTTGTCTTTTCCCAGAGCAGCTGGGACTTTCCCAGAGCAGCAGTTGAGACTTTCAACTTTGAAAAGAGAAATAGAACCTAACAACACCATGGGAAGCCAAGGTTTTAGGAGATGACTGATAAGAGATGTTTTGACAACAAATGATGCTTCCTTCATGAACCTGAGCATCAGTTATAGCAAATGTCTACTTTGCAGCAATTCATTGTTCTTGGCTTCACTTCCCCTCCATTTTGTCTGAGTACAAGATTATTGTAACTAGTTCTTTGAAAGAATGAAGGAGGGGGAGTGGTCTATATCACCTTGGGGAAAAGCAGTATAGAGACAGGAAAAGAAGAGTCACAGGAGGTGGTGGGGTGCTTGAAGTGATGAACCAGTGAGACAAAGACAGGGATTTGGAATAGGAACTGTGAGACAAAAAGGAAAAAAACACAATCCCTACTCAAAGACATCTCAAAACCATTTAGGAAGGTACTCAGCCTCCTGTAGCTAGTTGCTATTTAATCTACCAGTTAAAGAAAGAAGGCTAGAGGATTTGGGTTCTTTTGAGTTACAACTGAGAGTGAGATGGGCTCTTTGGAGAAAGCTGATCACTGGGTTGGGACAGGAACAGCACAGGAAGAGCCTGGAGTGTCTTGTAGTTCCAGAAAGTAAGGAGGAGCTCAGAAAACAAGAGGATTGGGTATATCAAAAGGAAACAAGAGTAAAACTGAAAGTGCTCCCAGTTGCCAAAGATGGAACAATTTGAACAAGAAAGTAAATAACAGAGGACTACATTGTACCCCAAAGTACAAAGCAGATATATATAAATCCATGCTGATAAGTAAGAAATTAATTAAGTAAATAAATAAATCTTTCTTACAGAAAAATTCTAAATTATATGGAAGGAAAGGAACTGAGGATTGCTGGAGGGGAAGCGCGGGGAGGGAAGTGGTAACTGGGTGATAGGCATCAAGGAGGGCATATGATATGATGAGCCCTGGGTGGTTTATGCAACTAAAGAATTATTGAGTATGATTAAGATTTTCTCTCTTTCTCTTTCTCTCTCTCTCTCTTCTTCTGCCCCTCCACCCAATACTCTCGCTCTCAAGAAAAATTCTGTCATTTTTATTTCACTTAAACTTTTTTCATCATCTTAAATTTTTCTTATTCAAGTATAATTAACACATAGTGTTGTATTAGTTTCAAGTGTACAATTTTATACATTTCTCAGTGCTCATGAAGGTAATGTACTCTTAATCCCCATTTTGGACCCTTGTAAATTTTTCAACTACAGAAATAAATAAAGTCAGACATAAATTTATATTCTAATATTTAAGTTGGTTATTTAAACATTTTTACTACATTCAACTCCTTGAACAAATTCCCCCCTTCTGTGTGTATGTGAACATATGGTATTCTTGCATACGCTTCTATTCATTGTGTGTGCCATGGTTTGCATGGAGGCTTGTATTGTCATATGGTAGAAAAAGTAATTAATATATAATTAATAAAACTTACTGCAAGCAGGGCCCCCAAATTCTTAAGATTCCCCTTGGTCATCCTCCTTCAGATATCACATATTTGGACATATATTTTCTCTTCTAGGTTATAGATTTTTGAACAAGAAATGGTATCACTTCAGTAATTTAGGTCCAACATAAGCATTAAAATGATCATTGCATGTTAGACACCTGTCAACAATGACAAAGGTTGTTGTGGATCCTATGACTTTAAGAGGTAAAGCCTAGAGACAATTTTGCCTTCTCAACCACCTTCTTGAAAGCAGTTTTAACCTCCTTGTTTCTTAGGCTATAGACGAGCGGATTCAGCATGGGAATGACCATAGTGTAGAACACAGATGCGATTTTGTCTGAGTCCATTGAATGGCTGGAGGTGGGCTGGGAGTACATGAAAATTACTGTCCCATAGAAGGTGGATACTGTAGTGAGGTGGGAGGTACAGGTAGATAAAGCCTTCCCTTGGCTGAGTGCATCTTCAGGATGGTGATAAAAATGAACAGATAGGAAATCAAGATAATGAAGAGAGCAAACAAGATGTTGAAGCTTGCTACAACAACAAGAACCAGCTCGCTGATATGCCTATCAGAGCAAGAGAGAGCCATGACTGCTGGGACATCACAGAAAAAGTGATGGACCAGATTGGACATGCAGAAAGAGAGACTGAATGTGTCCCTAATATGAATGGAGGCATTCAGGAAACCATAGATGTAAGAGCCTATGGCCAGAGAAGCACACACACCTGTCATCATGGTGGTGGTGTAATGGAGGGGTTTGCACACTGCTGCAAAACGATCATAAGCCATTGAAGCCAAGAGGAAATTTTCAACAGTGGCCAAGGCTACAAAAAAGAACATCTGAGCAGCACATGCATTGTAGGAGATGACTTTGTCTCCCACAAAGAACCCCGCCATCACTTTGGGAGTAACAGCTGTAGAATAACAAAAGTCCACCAGAGACAGATTACTGAGGAAAAAGTACATAGGAGTGTGGAGATGGGAGTCCAAGAGAATCAAAACAATCATCCCCATGTTACCAACCAGAGTGATGAGGTAAATGAGGGTGAACATGATAAAAAGAGGGATCTGCAGCTCTGGGGCATTGGTTAGTCCCAGCAGGATGAATTCAGTCACTTCTGTGTTGTTTTCCATAGGTGTTGGGGAATCACAGGAAGCACTGTAGGGATGAGAGATAAAGAAACAATAAAAAGAAAAGTATTTGAGGTGAAATTGAAAGAGATACATAGAAAGATGATAGACGGATAGATAGATGTGCACGGTTTCACTATACCAAAAATTCTTACTTCATATTATTCATATCTCAAGTGTGAGCTTGACACAAGATTTAATGCATAAATTACCTATATAGTTATACATTGCTAAAACTGAAGGATCTTCATGGATCATGTCCCACTGTCCACATTTTGTAAACTTGTAAACTGAAATATGGAAAAAAGAATGTCTTGATCAAGATGGCATGTCTATACCTTGGTTAATTGAATTTAAATTTAAAAAAAAAGTAAAAAGAAAAGATGGCATGTCTGGAATCAACTATATCTGTCATTTCAGTTCCATGGGTCATTAAATGTCTACATTTGTATGTTGCTCTAGACAGAAACTATGTTAGACATCATGCATACATTCATTCTTTTTTTTCCAAAACCCTATGAGTTTGACTGATTATTACCCCCAGTTAATTTATGAAGCACAAAGATTAAGTCTTGTATTTATGTTTACAACATTATACTGCCAAGCCAAGTTTTGTACCCAAGAGCGTTTCTTCAGTCCATTTGTCTTAAGTATAATTGAATTTAGTTCAATTTACAGTTACTCATTGTCACCATTGTCCCAAAATCAGTGTTTAGAACCTTATACTTAGGTAACTGAGGCATATAAGCAGAGTAGATGTAGTGGGCTAATAGGAGCAGTAGGGCATAAACAACCAGCAGCGGCAATTCAGAGAGCAAGGCACAACATTCAGTGTAGAGCTTGGGCTCTGGGAAGAGGTGCTCATCAGCCTTATCATTGACTACTGAAGGGTCATTAATTCCTTGGTACCTGGACCTGATTTTCTCCATATACAAAACGAAGATTGTCATGATATTTACCTTAAGGTATTGTTGAAAGAAATAAAGAGATAATGCATTATAAACAATAACAATTGGTAGATGGTTAGCATGGCTAGATACATGTTAGCTGTAGTAGTATTCTTAGGATGGAATGATAGCTCTTATGTTTGTTTGAGAAAGGTGGGTGGGACACACAGGGATTCTGGAGGGAATCAGTTCTGAGGCTTTACAGCCTCTGTTTGATTTCCTTGTTTTCGTGCACTTGGTCCACTGATTATTTTGTCCTGTCCAGTGTTCCTCAGCCTGTCTGTCCCTTACCAGCTTAAGTGGCTGTCCTAGCCATTCCAAATAAGCCATTCTTTTGCTTAATTTCTTTCTTAAAATCCATATTTTAGCATTAGGACATTTGGAATGTCCTTTCTGAAACTCATTCTTCCTCTCATTACTATCATCTCATAGTTGAATCACCAGGATCAAGGGCTGAAAGGTCCTGGTCTGTTGGCTGCCTTTAGCCTGCAAGTCTATTTTGGTGGTGAGCTCCACATTAAAAATTTTTTTATGTGATATGTTCTTGTGTAGGAACAGTGTCTTAAATCTTTTTAATTTGAATCTGAAGCCTTTAGAAAGACATCTCTCTTCTGCTAATCCTTCTCTACCACTGTCCTCTTGATCCTGCCTCTTCCCTCTACAAGCCCAGGCTTTAAAGTCATTAGGGTTGTCAAGCTCTGACAGTTGTAACCACTCTTAGAATGTGGCATGTTCTACAAACAGTAAGAGCTATATGCATATATATTTTTCTGTATGCATGTCTGTACATATATATGTATATGTATATATGCGTATGTTTACATACATGTATAGAAGCACATCTCATTTCATTTAAATTCATGGTAATATTGTGAGGTAAGTAGAATTATTATTCCCACATTAATATTTAAGAGAACTGAGGATTTGAGGAGATATGTAAATCTCTACAATTATACAGCTCAGATAAAGAAGAGTCAAGATTCAAATTCAGCTGTGACCAAATCAAAAGTCTGTGCTTTTGTAACCTTATCATTGGCCTCTGTAGATGTGCTAGCAATAATAATAAGGGTGACATGATGCAGGAAATTTTACAGTGGAGTATAGATCTGGTTAATTATACACTTTTGTAGTTTATAGAATGGTTATTTCACTGTCTTCTATCTCTCTTAACCCCCAGTGAGAGGACAGAGATAGCAAATAAGATGAATTTAAAAGTTACCGAATAAGAGCATCACCTCTCCTTTTTGTTTGGCTGATCTTTTTAAAGACAGCAGCACGATGATGTTCCATAAGTATCACTAAACTCCCCATTGACAGAAGTTTTGATATTTAAATCCCAGCCTCAGCTCACTGCTTTAGAAATAACGTTCAAATCATCTATTTCTGTGCTAAAACAATTCATAGTAGGTAGAGCTGCCCCATGGATTTTGCATGAATTATATTTCTCACTGAAAATATATTTGCAACAACGTGGATGGAACTAGAGGGTATTATGCTAAGTGGAATAAGTTAGTTCAGAGAAAGAAATTCCATATGATTTCACTCATTGAGGAATTTAAGAAACAACAGATGAACATAGAGGAAGGGAAAGAAAAATAAAATAAGATAAAAACAGAGAGGGAGGCAAACCATAAGAGACTCTTCACTCTAGGGAACAAACCGAGGGTTCCTGGAGGGGAGATGGGTGGTTGGATGGGGTAATGGATGATGGGCTTAAGGAGGGCATTTGACGGAATGAGCACTGGGTTTATATGCAACTGATGAACCAGTAAATTCTACCCTTGAAACTAATAATATACTATATGTTAACTGAATTGAATTTAAATAGAGAAATTATATATATGTGTGTGTATGTGTGTGTGTGTGTGTATGTAACATAACTGACACATATATGTGTGTGAATCATAGAAGCTTACCTTGTTGCTGGAAAAGAAGGGACAGGCAATCCTGAATAGTCAGTCTGATATCAGACTTTTCGCCATGGAATAATGCAGATATACTCTTAGAGATGTTCTCTATCAGGTATCAGTCAAAATATTCCAGACCTCTAAGGCAGGTAAAGATGGAGGAAAGATTCTAACAGGGAGTCACAAATCTGATCCATGTCTTGAATCTACCATTAATTCTTACTAAGTGTTTTTGGAGGAGTCACTTGTTCTTTCCTTATTTGTAAGATAAAGAATAAAATGACTTCTCCTACATCACTCAGTCTCATTCACAGAATTGCGTCTGTGATAAGCAAAGGAGGGAAGCTCAATAAAACACCTTGCTGAGTGGTTATCCCTTTAAAGTCAATCAATATAATTTTCATGTTGAGATGTTTTCCCTGCCCATGATTGCAGGCTTGAAGCACATCCTCAGGTCCAAGGTCAGGCAGGAAGGTGTGCATGTACTAGCAATTACTAACAGTAGTTGATGGCCAAAGGGGCTGAGCACATGGTCTGGCCCCTCTAAAAATGATGTCACGCTGAGTCATCTTGGGATTTCAACGGCTAACTCATGAAATCAGGAGGGATTTATGTAGGCATGGAGTTCTCTGTGCATGTCCCCCAGGGGGGCATTTATAGTTCTCATCCACCTTCTTAGGGAGAAGCAATTTAGCAGTTTGTGTGTCCCTAGCTGGATTTGATTAAGGTGCACACATGCTTTCATATCACTTGCTATTTCATATATTTCCCCATCTTCTAATTAAAGTAGAATTTATAAACAATAACATCCCTAGTTTCTATTATATAAATCTCAGAGTTTGGTCACATTTACAAGGTCATGTAACCACTAGCACAATCGTGACATAGAAGAGTTCCATCATCTAAACCAAACCCTCCAGCTTCTTTGTGAGCAACCCATTCTCCCACCTGCCACTCCTGGAAACCACTAAATTGCTTTTGTCCGTGTAATTTTGCCTTTTCAAGAATGTCCTATAGATTGAATCCCAATGTGTGTAGCCTTTGTATCTGGATTCCTTCACTTAGCACGCTGTGTCTGAGATTCATCCATCTTGTTAACTGTATTAATTTCCTAAGACTGCCATTAAAAAGCACCACAAAACAGATGGTTTAAACAACAGAAATCTATTGTCTCACATTTCTGGCCTAGGAGTCTGTAGTTAATGAATTGTTGAGGTTGGTTCTGCTGGTGGCTTGTGGTTTCTGAAAGGGAGAATTTTTCTCACATTTGTCTCTGAGCACTTGGGTGATGTGTTGGCGTTCTTTGGCATTCCTTGGTCAGCTACATCTTCTTGACTTCTATCTTCATCCCCGCATTATGCCTGTGTCTATATACATTTCCCTTTTTAAAGGGACATGAGTCCTATTAGATTTGGGGCCCATCCTACCCCAGTATGACCTCATTTTAAGTAATTTAATTTGTAATAATCCTGTTTCCAAATAAGATCACATTCTGTGGTACTGAGGTTAGGACTTCAACAAAGGAAACGTTGAATTAGACTTTGGACTTCTCATAAGAGCATTTTGTTACATATATTGTTAAATTTGTCTTTCTGTATGGGAATGTGGATTTGGACTTTCTATTCCTCCATCCTGCTTATCTCACTCTCTAGTCCTTTTTATATGCTTAATGGCTTGGCAGGACTAATTATCCTGAACTTTGGGGGTACAGATGGCCCTTCTTTTCACTATATTTTATCTTTGGGGGTAAATACCCAGTAGTGCAATTGCAGGGTCATAGGGAAGTTCTATTTTTAAATTTTTAAGGAATCTCCATACTGTTTTTCAAAGTGGCTGCACCAACTTGATTTCCCACCAACAGTGTAAGAGGGTTCCCCTTTCTCTACATCCTCTCCAACACACGTTGCTTACTGTCTTGTTAATTATGGACATTCTAACTGGTGTAAGGTGGTATCAAAATGTGCTTTTGATTTGAATCTCCCTGATGGCTAATGATGATGAACATTTTTTCATGTGTCTGATAGCCATTTGTATGCCTTCATTGGAGAAGTGTCTGTTCATGTCTTCTGCCCATTTTTTGACATGCTTATCTGTTTTGTGTGTGTACTTTGGTTTTTATTTTATTAATGATGTTTCTTGATATAGAAAA